GCTTGAGCCATATCCCCAGCCCATACCGCTTGAGCCATATCCCCAGCCCATACTGCTTGAGCCATATCCTCAGCCCGCTCGTAAATCACTTTAACCCCTGATGCTCATGTGGGCAGTGCCGGGCTGAGCAGGGACATGCTGGGCAGGAGCCAGTGCTGGCCCCTGTCACTAAGGCCCTGGAGGTCAGGATGAGCAGGCTGGGGACAGGGGACACACAGGCAGCTGTAGGCGGCCTGGAGAGGACCCTGGCCTGTTGGAGCTTGTGGGAGAGTGGAGCTGGCGAATCTCAGCTGTGGAGGTGGAGCTGGGGCCTCGGGAATCCACCGGGGCCGAGGCAGAGGGACTGGCAGGGGAGGGGGGTCCTGGAGACCCTGGGCACCGGGGCCAGCAGTCCCACATCTCTTCAGTGCTGTCAGCCTGTGGTTCTCAGTTGGGAGTGACTGCCTCAGTGACCCTGGGCCACTTCTGGGGACATGTGTGGTATTACGATGAGGAGTGTCCTGGCCTGGAGTGGGGGAGGCCAGGGCTGCAGCTCTGCACCCAGTGTCCAGAACGCCCCCAGGGAGCCATCCAGCCCCACTGTCCACAGCACGGAGGCAGAGAAGCCCTGGTCTAGATCCATTTGTCCTACGGTAAACGCTGTGAGCAGCCCAGGAGGTGAGAGCTGAGAGGTGCCAAGGCCCTGGGGCAGATTGGCAAAGACAGGATGTCCAGGGAGCACAGTGGCCAGCTGGGAGCCCACCCCAGCTCCCCAGGCTCTGCTGTCCCTGGTTCCCCTCCTCCAGTAACATCCACATGGTGGGCCTCCTGCCATTGGGCCGACAGTGACCAGATTTCTTCCAGCTGATAGGAAAGGGGCCTCAGCCTCACCACCCCACGTCCTCCAGGTGCTCAGTTCCTGGTTCCACTGACAGCCCCTGACTGGCTGAGGCTGCCAACCAGGCCAGGGGGCAGACTCCAGGCAGAGCTGCTGGCTGGACGCTCCTGGAGGTCGGACCACTGGATGGGGCTCCTTCCCCATCCCCCACTTTTTGGGGGTGAAGGAAAGAGGAGGCTGAGCAGAAAATGCCTGGCAGCTCAGCAGGGCCTGGGGGGGGGTCTTTGGATTCTTTTAAAGACCCTCCCAGCTTCGCACACCCAGGCCCACGGGCTCCGAGCATCCTGCTCGGGTCTCCATGGAGACGAGCCTGTCTATGGCAGTCCCCGGGCCTCGGGCTGGCCCTGCTCTCCCAGCCTGAGCGCAGCCGGCAGATCCGAGGCGGGGGCTGCCTTGGGAACAACCCACCTCTCACCCCAGCTGTGCCCCCCCCAGCCGACGTCCCGCCCCGCCTGGAAGCCAGGCTGCTGTGGCCACGATGCTGGTGTGTTTGCGCAGCTCGGAGATGTCCCAGGTGGGCCCAGCGCTGGCCGCAGGGAGTCCACCTGGGCGCCTCCCTGCTCTTCAGTCCCACAGGGGAAAGGACAGGGAGGCGCAGCTCCGAGGGGTGGGAGCCAGGGGGTTTCCGGGGGCTGCTTGACCCTCAGCGCTCCTGCCGGGTCACCTCAGACAAGTGACCCGCCTGTCTGCCTCTCAGGATGGCAGTTAGGATGGGCAGGGTGTGGACACGAGCTGTGGGCCCCCCTCACCACAGAATCCCACGCTCCAGGGGCTCCAGGGGCTGAAGGCTCTCCAGCTCCGCTCAGCAAGGACTCAGCAACTCGGCTGACCTGGCCGCAAAATAAGAAAAAGGGGCCGGGGTCGAGGGTCAGCGCCCCTGAGTTCAATCCCCGTACCCCCACCCCCAAAAGAGGGGAGGACAGATAGCGAAGAATTCAGTGTGATTTTTTTTTTTAAAAAAATTGGAATTAATGCTTCCCCCCAAATCTGTGCTGAACAAAATGTCACGGTTTTAAATAAAGACAGAACTGGTGTGGCTGACGAGGCTTCTGGCACTGCTGCAGTCTATTAGAAATTTAAATTTAAAATAAAAACGAGGAACATGAATGAAGAAACACTTAAAAATTAAAATGAAAACGGATCCGTGACCAGTCCCAGGGTGGTGCTGAGTCAGGGGGACACCCCGCCACGCTGACCTCGTCTCCGTCCCGAGTGGGGCCTTGCTCGCCGCTGCGGGGGTTCCTAGGACCACGTGTGGCGCTTTGTCCTGGTCCTCCCCGAGCCACACCCCAGCCCTTTCTGTATGGCTTTGAGATAGAAGCTTGCTGAGGTGCCGGGGCCAGCCCTGGACGTGCCCTCCTCCCGCCTCAGCCTCCGGAGTGGCTGGGACGACAGGTGTGGCCTCTGTGCCCCACTCTCTTTAAAACTATTGCATTACACTGTTCATTCAAGATTTCTTTTTACAATTCTGTGGTTTTTAGTATGTTCACCAGGTTGTACCACCATCACCACCACCTAATTCCAGAACCTTCTATCACTCCAAAAAGAGGCCCTGCCCCATGAGCAGCCCCCCGTCCCTCCCAGTTCTGCACCTGTGATCCACATCCTCTCTGGACTCCCCTGACCTGGCCTCTCCCCCGACTCCTGTCCTGGAGTCACACGCTGTAACCTGTGTGACCGGCTCTCACTGATCACGAGGTTCTGAGGGCCATCTATGCTGCAGCTGTCACCTCGCTCCTGTTGGTGGCTGAGGGCTGCTCCAGGTGGATGGACTAGAAATGTAGTCTACCCATGCCATGGGACATTATTTATCTTGATGGCTGAGTTCTAAGTCTGAAATAAGACACCCCCGACCCACCTTTCCATAGTCCTGGAGCTGATGCCACATTAAGAGCTCATGTCAGCTACAGGAGCTTCCTGCCCCAGGGCCCTTGCATCGCCTCTCCACTCGTGCCCTGAGTTCCCCAGCACCTTCCCTGACTTCCTCCTGCAGCCATTTCTCTGCTCACCCGACCCAGCGCCCCTTGTCCTAGGTGGCAGGTCCTACAAGTCTGCTTCTCTATTGGATTCACCTCCAGGGTTTGCCATGTGGATCGAATGACCTAGTACACAGCAAGCACTTAGCACAGAGCCTGGCGCATGCCAGGAGCTAGGTGGTTTGTCAACATCAAGCGGATGTCTGTTTCATGAAAGCAAAATACAATTCAAAGTAAGTATAAATGCTACAGAGGAGAAAGGGAGGCCATGAGAAGAGGTAATGGTGGCGGAAGGGGAGTGGGAGACCCAAGGGGGGAATCCTGCACCCTGTGGAGGAAGGTGTCCCCAGCAGAGGGCACAGAGGGCAAAAGCCCTGGGCAGGACCCAGCCTGGCATGCTGGGGGCTCTGAAGACCCCAGGTGGCCATGGCAGAGGGAGGAGGGAGGACGAGAGGGACTGGGCTGGCTGGGAAGGGCCCTGTGGGCTGCAGAGAGGACTCGGGCTTTAGTCTGGGGACATCTTGGAGAGTTTTAAGCAGAGGAGACAGGATGCCCTTCGAGTAGCTGTCCTAAATGTGTCAATATATTTCCCAATGTTTTAGGCACTGTGCACGACGGCTGCGGCGATGTCCAAAACGTGTCACTCGGGTTGCAGTTGCTATAAATACAATGATTGCTATTTTTGTTGAACAAGTCAGAAACCTGCGAGCGCTGAGCGCCGCGCCTGGCCACAGCCGAGTGGACGGCGTCCTCTTTGCGGGTCTCCCGTCGTTGGCTCCGAAGGGGCGCAGGCCCAGGGCGCCGGATCAGCCGGGGGCGGCGGGGTGGCTCCGGCCGGGCTCCCTG